TACTCCATTCAGTGCTTGGTATTCTTACGAGTTATCTTGAAAGATCATTAAAGGTCAAAGCAAGAGAGGTTGCTTTTAAATTTATAAACGTTTTCATGCAATCTTTTTCATACAGGACAACAATCTTCCACTCAAATTTCATTTTTTGGGGGGGAGGGTTGGAGGCAGATACCTTCAGATATATCAGTAATGTATAGCTCAAAACATACGCAAATAAAGCCAAACCCCTCTGCTTGGCCAGATACCACCGGAGGCACAGTAAGCAAAAACATATATTTTTCATACATTTGAAAATGTTTCACATACTTTATGCATCAGTTACATGACTGAGTTTAGAATTACTCTCTAACGACCCTCCAGGTGAAGCTCATTGTGAAATATAATTGAATTCTTTGTCACACAGAGACACATGGATGAGTAGATTTTATTAATGAAATGCTGAAGTGGGCAAGCTTTTATGGTAACAGTTAACAGTTTTTTTGCTTTGAGTATAATGTACATTTCTGTGTTAGCAGCAAAAAGAAACGTATTCATTCAGTGGTGGGAGCTAACACTGGCATCCTCTCATGAATCCCTTTACATGGGCCATCATCTGATTTTGATGGCTGATTTGCACTGCAGGGTTCTGATTTGCCTGTGATTGGGTAATGTGTTCATGCACTAAAAAAGTAGATAGCTTATTGTCTTGGATTGTCTTGTACAACCAGACTGATTTGCCTAAAAGGGAAGTTTACCCCCATGACTTCTGTTTGGCAGCTATTGAAATTTGATATGAGCAAATGAAATGTAGTACATCAACTGCATCTCTCTCAGTCTCCTGGCTTCTTTGCACTGGACCTCCTGGCCCTTCCTGCTGCGTGCATCCACCATTTCCTGCATGCCTGCGCCCAGAGGAGACGTGGCACCTTATTGCAAATCAAAGTTTGATCTGCTAATTCGCCTTGATTTTGTAATCAGTCTCAACATTCAGGGCTGCTGGCTGACATGTCTTTAATGTCAACATAGAAGCAGATTAAATTGTTATGGCTGTGATGAATTTCACAGCAATAAGTGAGTATTCCATCGCATGTCAAGAGGCATATATCATGAAGGTGTCACAGGGGCGCCGCTAGGAATTTTGGGCCCCATGACAAAAAAATCAGATTGGGCCCCCTTTGCGCAGCTGTTGTCACCACATCTCTAGGACCCAACTGTCCCATCAAAAGCTTTACATAACTAATAATAATAATAATAATAATGCTAACTCTAATTAAAGGCTTGCAACTGTCTTGCTTCTTGAAGTTCAATACTAGTACTAGCACAATATTTACTGCTGGTGATTTGTACATGCAAGTCTGCATACAGTATGCAGTTCACTATTATATATAAAGCCACCATAAAAAATGTCCTTAAGGCAATCTTTTACTCTCTCAATGCTTTTTTATTGTAAAATTAAGAGATAAAATTCTCTTAACATTAACACCTATCTATAGATGTCATTTAAGAGCCATAATTCTATCTAAATGAATGTATCAAACTGGATTATTTTAATATTGTCTGTAACTAGGCTGAGGTAAACTACTCACTGTAGGTTGTTTAGTTTTTTTATTTATTTCATAATGATCATTGTGTGAGAAAATAATTTGTGCTTGAATTTCTGTCATTAATAAATATTTGATTTTCTTTTTTGTAATGGTAAAAAGAGCTAGAGAGGCAGAGAAATCCCCACAGACTCCCTGTAATGATGCTAACTGGAAAGTCATTAACACCATGCTGCTCACCTTCTTCACCGGGACAGGGAGGGGTACAGTTATGGGGAGACTGGGGTGCTGCTGACTCATCTGTTAAGTCTGCTAAAAGGGGCAGGGACACTGAGTTAATATGAATATCTTGCTAAACGTTTCCCTGCACTGATTAAATGTTGATGAAATGTAGGCTAACAATAGTCTGTAGCTAGCTAAAGTTAGCTTATAGTGTAGATTTCAAATATCAGCAGTTTTACAAAAATTGACGGCAAATTGAAAATGTGATCAAACGTTTTCGGAGTTGAGAAGCTGCAGTTAACGTTAACGGAGGCTACACGGCAACACAATGGAGATTTAACCCTATCTGCTAGCACGTCGGCCAATGTGCGCCACTGTAGGGTTAATCGGTCGACATGCATACAATCAATAACTTTTGGCACACACACTGTGATGGTTGTACTAAGAGTAATATACTTCGGGGGGCTGTCAGGAATAGTTAGCTAGCTAGCTCTGATTAGCTCCCCCAGGCCCAGTCACACAGACCACTGCAACCAACACAGCAGACGTGTCCAGCAACAGCTGATAATGTTCATACCTCTGTTATGCTATCATTAAATTCTCAGTAATGTTGTAAAGTTTTAACCTAAATCAAGATACATCTGGCTCGTGATGTAACTTTACAGAATATTCTTGGTTCATGAAACTTAAAATATACAACAACATTGGTATGAATTGAAACATTGCTTTATTATTATCATTAGGCTATTATAAATAAATATTTGCAGGAATTATAGTATTAATATACTATATTAATAATATATAATTATGGTATAGTAAATATTAATGCATAATGGTCACTGATTACTACATTGACAGTTGACATCTCTTTAGTAATGGTTCTTTTTTTTATTTAACAGCTATGCGTGGGCCGAGCAGCCGAAATAAACGTCATCACGTTTTGCGCACTGTGGCTTCTGCGACAAACCATATATGGAAGTTCAACTTCCGTCATGTTTGTCTGCAGGCTGCAGCTGGACCCTTCTTGATAAGCGCGCTAAGGCAGGACCAAACCATTTCATGCAGATACAGGGGGGTGGTCAAATTAATTTTATTATTATATTTGAAATACATATATACTCAATGATAATGGTTTATATAATGTATAATATAATATAATTTTATATTAGTTTTTACAAAAAAATTGGAATTGTCATAACTTTTCCCCCCTATAAGACACCCCTGAAAACATATTGTAGCACTTTTGTGAAATGACTAACTGGTGCATAAAGTTTTCAGTGACTGTCTCTCTTACTGATGTCCTCTCTTCAAGGATCTTAAGCTTGTAGGCTTCCAAGTATAAATACATCATCCACCACAACATTGCATACAACCAAATATATTTAAATAGCAGTTCAGTCAGTAAATTCATAATGTGTAGACAACAGTGAACATACAAGCTACACTCATCAGGCATAACATTATGACCACCTGCCTAAAATTGTGTAGGTCCTCTTTTTACTGTCAAAACAGCCCTGACCCGTCGAGTCATGGACTCCACAAGACCTCTGAAGGTGTGCTGTGGTATCTGGCACCAAGACGTTAGCAGCAGATCCTTTATGCCCTATAAGTTTTGAGTGGGAGCCTCCATGGATCGGACTTTTTGTCCACAGATTAGATTGAGATCTTGGAGGCCAAGTCAACATCTTGAACTAGTCCTCAAAACATTCCTGAACTGTTTTTGCTTTGTGGCAGGGCACGTTATCCTGCTGAAAGAGGCCACTGCCATCAGAGAATACTGTTTCCATGACAGGGTGTCCATGATCTGCAACAATGTTTGGGTAGGTGGTGCGTGTCAAATATCTCCAAGAATGGCAGGACCCAAGGATTCCTGCAGAACACTGCCCAAAGCATCACACTGCCTCACCCAGCTTGCCTTCTTCGTGGTGCCATGTGTCCCCCAGGTAAGCGAAGCACAAGCACCCGACTATCTAAGTAATATAAAAGAAAATGCCATTCATCAGACCAGGCCACCTTCTTCCATTGCTCTGTGGTCCAGTTCTGATGCTCACATGCCCATTGTAAGGTCTTTCAGCAGTGGACAGGGGTCCAAATGGGCACCCTGACTGGTCTACCTCTAAGCAGGCCCGTATGCAACAAACTGTGATCCCCTGTGTGTTCTGACACCTTTCTACCAGAACCTGAATTTACTTTTTCAGCAGTTTGACCTACAGTATCTCGTTTGTTGGATTGGACCACATGAGCCAGCCTTTGTTCCCCACGTGTTCTTTTAATAAACAATTCTTTATTTGCTTTTCATTTTAGTATAAATGTAGTTGGGGAGTAGTTGATTGCATTTAGCCAATCACTTAAGTAAAAAATTAAAATCTAGAAAGTTTGCCCTGGCAAATAGCAATATATTGTCAAGAACACTTGCACAAAACACTGAAATGGAAAGTACCCCACCAGGTGTTGAATATATGTTACTACACAATAAAACAAAGAGTGAATGCTTTATTATGAACCAATCTTATTTTCTATTTTTTTTTTACACATTGCTTGTCAAAATACTTCCACAGCAGTAGTAAAGTTAAAATTACATTGCTGCAGTTGAGAAAATATTTATGGTCCCCAACAGGCCTCTTCATATTAGACACAACACAGGTGTTAACATTAACCATGGCTCTGTATTCAACTGTCCTCCCCTGTGACATGTCAATATCTCATCATTGTATAGGTGCCCATGTCTCCAAAATATTTATCAGGTGATAAATAGTAAACATTTTGTGTATATTCCTGTTGAACCAGTTTGCTTAATTAACCTCTCTTGGAATAATTTAACTTGTCAAACAGGTGTTATTATTAATAACATTGTCTGCATTCTGTTTAGGAGTTTAGCAACCTGATGCATGCCGGTTCACCAAGACCAATACCGATGCTTTGTTAATGTTTTTAGCAGCACGTGTGCTTTTCCTTCAATGACAGAGAGAAAGGTCTATTCTCAGTTTTGGTAGGTACTCCAACTCAGCTGAAATAAAGCAAATCTGATTTTGAGTTAAAATTAATTCTTTAAAAGACCATTAGTCCCTTAAAACTGGTTTTATTAGTAATATTTCTAACTTTTGTAATGTCTGTATAAAGAGAATTGCCCCAGAAGCAACTGGAGGTTAGCCTCTGTACTTTTCAGAACAGCAGCATGTAGCACTGATCATCAGCACCATTTCATGTTTGATTCTTAAAGTTTGCTTTGATCACATATTATACAAGAGAATTACAATAGATACTCAATTACTACTTTATTAAAAAATAACATTTAATACGCAATGATACAACACTGTACAGTAGAGTGTGTGTGCAGGAGGCGCAAAGCTGCCCCAGTGAAGACTGTGAGTGAAGGGTTGCTGGTCAGCTGCGAGGACGTGCTGTAGTTGTCTCGTGCTGCATTCATCACACATGCAGGGTTCGCTGGTGTTCATCCAAAAGCAACAACTGAGCTTTGACACACTCTGAAGGTATATTTTATTCAGTTTATCGTTTTGCAGGACATGCATATGCAAATTGGTATTATTATTTTTTTTTTTAATCATATTTATTCCTGCAACCAGCAGGGTCAAATTCCACGGGAAACCTGAGTTTCTGACTTTTATAATAGCAGTTTCAAGTCAGACATTAGTATTTCTGGTATGCCCTCGTGTAATGAATGCAGCATTGGTCCTGAGAGGTTAAAGGTAACTGTAGAGTCTACTGTTCAGGGGGGTCAGTCAGAGATGGGCAGAGGAAGTATGTATATGACTCCATGAGAAATCAACCATCGCTTCTGAAAATCAACCACAACTGAGGCCACTCAGGAAACACCTCACATGTGAATGACTACTGTGGTGGAAAGTAAAGCACACACAAATCTTTGCAGACTGAGACCCCTGAAAAAGCAGACAGGTTCAGATAATACTGTACGGCCCTATTTTTGAGTGAATTTCTGCATCATCTTAGACAGAAGCCATAGTGCATGTCATAAATAAAAAAAATTTGAAAAGACACCACACAATTCCTATACGCATGGTAGAGTGAGACTAGTGGTATTTTACAGATTATCACATTATTTCACAAAATAGTGGCGCAGTCTCACAATAGATTTGTCCATATTTCAAACGGACAACATGAAGCACTGACATGTGAGATGGCAGTATTTAGCTAGGCAACAATGTAACAGCACTCAGAAGAAAAAGGAGGTTTAAATAAAGACTAAAATGGAAATAAGTGCCAGGTCAGACTTCTGTTTACGGGGCATTTCAGTAGCTTTTTGTTTGATGATGATGACGAACAGGCTTCATTTGTCAGACCGTCAATTCTCTAAATAACTGAGAAAATGTCACGCTTACACAGACTCTTCTTTACAAGATAATTGTCATGTCTGCAGAAGTGTAAACTTATGGATATGACGTGACTGGATACCGTGACCGTGCTGAACATTGTTGCATTTTCTTAATGCACCTCAGTTTCAAGGCATGTGTGGAAGACTTTATCATGCTATTAATATGACTAAGGAAAGGCTAGATAATTCAGAAAGGCTAACAACTCAAGGCTAATAACTCAAATTGTGTCTTTGAGATTTAATACTCGGTGTACAAGTCAAGTACAAAATTAGGTAAATGACATACTAAGCTGGCTAATACAAATTCTATTGAAGGACTATGGCGTGAAGTAGTATTAGGTTAGATAAGAAACTTTCACCAAGAGTTGCAGAAACCCTAGTTCTTGGAAAGTAGAAAAAAAGTGTCCTAATGGCAGCAATTGTAGCTTTTGTAGGAAAGTTTCCCCACATCAATAAGATTCACAAACTGGGTTGTTTAAAAACTTGCATCATTGCCCTGAGAAATATGTTCCCTCGCGGCTATGTGTCTGGAGATGCCTTTTGATTTTGTCAGAACGGCTGAAGCATTTGCCACACACAGGGCAACTGTATGGCTTCTCTCCAGTATGGATCCTCATGTGTACCTTCAGGTGAGCCATCTGTGTGAAGCCCTTTCCACAAATCTGGCAGCGGAAGGGTTTTTCTCCCGTGTGGCTACGCTGGTGCTCCTGGAGTCTGCCAGAGGAGCTGCAGCACTTCCCGCATACTCCGCAGCGGTAAGGTTTTTCTCGAGTGTGCACTTGTACATGCACATGCAGGTGGCCAATGTGACTAAACGCCTCACCGCAGACCTTGCAGCAAAAGGATGACATGTGGCCTTGTAGGGGTGATTTTTGATGGGGGCAGTCCACGGCATTGGCTCCTTGGTTGCGCATGTGTGAGGCCTGTCCTCTGTTAGCTCCGGTTCCAGTTCCCTTAGCACCAACCATCTGTCCTCCATTCTCAACCCCAATAATGTCAATGTTGTTCTCATTTGAGCAGTTTGGGTTGACAGGCGCGAGGGGCTGAGCGCCGCTGTTGGAAGAAGTAGAGCCTCTGTGGCCTCCCCCACTCTCCACCTTCACATGCCTTGAGGAGCCTCGAGAACCAGGATCCCTCTCCCTGTTCTCCACACCTTGACTCTGGGGGAGGTTGGATGTGTGGGGACCGTCCTGGGGATATTCATTTGCAACACGCGGGGGAGTGAACATGTTCTCTGGTGTGCTGCAAGAGCCGTGACTGCGAAGCTGATCATCTCCTTGGTTGGGCCGGAGATCTCTTTTATCCTTAATCTGAATAGGGATACGTTCTTCGTGCCCCATGCTGGGACTCCACTCACGTCGTGGATGCTCACCATCCTCCTCGTCCAACAGCGCCATGGATGGACGATCTGAGAACACAACAGGAGGAAGAGGTTCTAATGAAAATATTAACTACATTGCTGCAGACAGCTGTGTTCATGGCACAGTGAAAACGAAAACTTAGTTGTAGTTGAACACAAGGGGAAGTGACTATAACGCTATGGCAGAGCAACCACAGCTCATGGAAATGGCAACGCCAGCGTTCTTCTGTAAAACACCCCTATACCACACAACTTTTCCCATCAAAAATACCAAGAGCTGAACTTGACAGACTTTTACATTTTAATAGAAATGTCTAAATTGTAACGGTGTTGGTCAATGTACAATACCAGTTTACTGGGGGGTTAAATGGTACTGTACAATGAACAGTGCATCACCACAGTTTAGCAGAGGCGGTAATTCACCAAAATCCTGACACATCTTGTTTCACGATCAATGCAGGTACAAACTAATGGCCAAAACAAGACGCCCTAATTTAATGTATTTTGCTCCACTATAAAACAGTCTGGGAAACCCTGAGTACCTACATATTAGACAGTAAAACTGTATGTGATGCATACATAAAGTTTTCAACCCCTTGAACTTTTAAGAGTTGTTTAACATTAATTAAAAGTTGATGTAACTGAGACATGTGACAACATGCTAACAGAAAAAGACAATGTCAAATCTACGTAAAACACTACTACTCTACAAATTATAAATAAGAGCGCATGACATATTTACATTCATAACTTAAATAATAGCACATTTGGCAACAGTTTATCACAGTTTCAGGCCAGTTTCTTAACATTATGTGGATAAGTAACTTAGTTTACATAACGGAATAAACACACTGTGAAACAACAGGTGAATAGTGTGTATTTATTTGGTCAGTATTCACTTCAATCGGCCCCTGTCAAATAAATAATTAATTTTTTAATTAGCAGGTGAAAATGCACTTAAGTATCCATATATAGCTAAAAGGGCTAGTCGGCTAACCTAGCTGGTTAGCTAACAAACAAAGGTTGCTAACGCGTTAGCCGCTCCACAACAACAGCTGCTAACGTCAGCTAGCTCGCTAAATGCTAAGTTAACTTCATCAGAAGTGGGATAACGTCGTTTTTATGTTATTTACTGTGTTGTTACATTGGTCCTGCACGCAGGCATTTACGTTTCACCACCCCAATACAACCTCACAAACTCGGCTGAGTGGACATAAAGGGGCGCAACTGCACCGTTAGCTTTCAGCCGAGCTAACCTGGCCATATTTCAATCCCAGCGTCTCGCAGCCTGCGTCTCAGATGGTCGTTCTCCCGCTCTCTGATCGCTATCTCCTCCTGGTACTCCAAAATCGTGTCCTCGACAGATTTGTAGATCTCCTGCGCAGCAAGCATGAGACGCTCAGTCAAAAATACGTTTAAAAACTGCAGCTTGGTCATTTTCTTGGGTTGCACGGAGCTCTTGCTATCATCCAAAATGGACCAAAAAAAGATGCTCGACCCAATCACGTGACCCGGAGTTGTTTCTTCTTCTTCGTATTCTTATTCTGTTCTTTCTTTCCCCCATGATACATGATATCCTGTTTCAGTCTTGACAATATCCCTTTATGGTAGGTTATATTCCTACCTTTTAGGTTAAAATGGGTTAACACTTATCAGGTCACAGAATGTCACGGGTCACAAAATATAATGTCACACCTGCTGCTATGTGGCAGAACAAGGTGCCCTAAGAGGTGTAAGGCATAAGGTATTATTTATTTTACAAAAAAGGGTTGTATAATGTAAAATGTGTGTTATTTAGGGATGTAAACTATCTACAAAAAATTATCTATAGCTTCAAGTGCAAGTCTACATGATTTTGCACTTTCATATACAGGTATTTTTTCATTAATCAATATTTATATCAATGGCTTTATTTGTTGTTAAATTTGATATTGCATATTTGGTAGTTTTATGTTGTTATTTTTGATGAAACCTTATTGGTGATGCAACTGTAATTTTGTTGTCCAGGATAACAATCTCTATTGAACTCTAGTATACTGCATTGTTGGTGGTATAAAGTAAAATCCGTGCACTGTATACACACACATTAGAAATGTAGACCACACATGTAGGGTTGTATACATTTGGGACTTCTACAGACTACAAAGTTTGGGCTTCATGCACTGATGTCAGAGCTGGTTGGTAGTAGGTGCTTGCCCTGGGTGCCTCTATCGCTTTGTGACCACTTTCTCTATGTGTGCTTAAAATACTTTTATTTCAGCTATTCAGCTGGGTGCCACACTGTGTCCAATGTACTTCTTATGTCTCAACATCTTTTAATGTGTCTAATGCATTTGAATTATCTAACCAATAAACAATTTTGACACAGTAAATAATAGCACAACCTTGAAGTAAATCATATAAAAACTGAATGTTATACTTAAGATGTGTGGTTACTGGTGCAGGAATGTACTTCTAGACTTTGACAATGGTACTGACAAAGATACTGATCGTATTTTTGTATGCAAGTATGCTTCATTTGTGTGAGATTTTTACTTCAGTGTCAGGAAATGGTAAGAAAACGGTTAACCTTTATATTTGTATGAGCTGAGCATCATTGATTTCTTGTTCAAAAATTTAACCATGAAACCACAGTTTAATTCCATTAATAATATAATACCGTTGCAGCCATGACAAAAATAGCTGATAGAGTTCCCATAAATAGGACAGTCTTGATTCAGTGTTAAGTTAATTAAGAAAATTACATGCGTTTATGTTGACAAACACAACAAATCAACAGCGTCATCACAAAACTGACGCACTGGAGGTCTCGCAGCATGAGCTGAAAGTAACGTTACTCCAGCTCGGCAGGTGGCGAAACACGCGCAGACAAGAGCGGAAGTGACAAAACATCAAACTTGCGCACTCCTCCACGTGCGAGAGCAGTACAGTCACATTGGCAGGTCCGCAGCTGCACGATGAAACGACCAAGTAAGTGAATCCGGACAGCGACGTCCTATTAATATGTTCGCTTTTTTAAAACAGCTCTATAAAGCTAAATTATTCGGTTAATCCACCTAGTTAATAAGCTGACTGTATGATTGGCTAACGGCCACATTTAGTTTGTCTGTATTAGCTTCGTTTTTAGCTAAATGTTGAACCAACGTTAAATTTTTTTTATCTCTTTTCTTCAGAGTTAAAGAAAGCCAGTAAGCGGGTTTCATGTTCCAAGCGTTATAAAATACAGAAAAAGGTAAGTGCCCGACTTTATAACCCACTACTTTAAAGATAAAACTGTTGGATGAGGCCTGTGAGCGAGACGAGTTTGCTAACGTTGCTCATAATTTCTAACTTGTTTGGCTGAGTTTTAATGCCCACAAAGAGTTGAATTCTGGTGTTCTGTGTGTAGGTCCGGGAGCACAACAGAAAACTAAAAAAAGAGGCAAAGAAGAAAGGAGTGAGCAAACGAGTGAAGAAGGATCCTGGTGTGCCCAACAGTGCTCCCTTCAAAGAGGAGGTCCTCAGGGAGGCCGAGCAGAGGAGGCTACAGGTTAGCAGTCATTTGCTTTTCCAGTGCAGCTACCGCATCTGATGTGGATCCTGTCACCTGAAAGTGGCTAACATGATGACAGAATTTCTGCTGTTGTACTCATTGAACTTTTTTTATTTTGTCTTGTAGATTGAAGAAGAAAAAGAGAGAAAGAAGCAAGCCAAAAAGGAGGAGCGAGCCCAGAAGAGGAAAAAGGAGGAGACAGCTGTAAGCAAAAAAGCAGAACCCAAGGCCAAGAAGGCTCGGCAGGTAAAAGGCAAACACTTGTATAATCATCCATCGATTCAGAATTGAATCACTCTATTGTTGATTTACTTTTATCATCTTTTGGTCTTGTTTCCGTAGGATGGGGTTGGAAAGCGTTCAGAGAAACAGGCTGCCCCAGACAAGAACTCAAAACAGTATCTTTGCTCTGAATTAAACAAGGTAACTCCCCAATCAAAGTAAGTGTTTTACTATAGAAGGAAATGTTTTTCATGCTATTTAGAAACCGTCTGCCTTATCTCTACTTCTTCAGGTGATCGATGCATCTGATGTAGTGATTGAAGTCCTTGATGCTCGTGACCCACTGGGCTGCAGGTGTCCACAGCTGGAGGAGGCAGTACTGCAGAGGGAAAGCAACAAGAAACTGATTTTGGTATTAAACAAAATAGGTAAATGGACACGAGAGGCTACCATTTTATTTTGTAGTTAAGTACACACAGAGAGATGATGTTGATGATCTGTTGTGAATTAGAATGAAAAATGTGATGTTAAGTAAGTTTGTGTGTGTTTTTGATTTTCTATTTTTAGATCTAGTACCAAAAGAAAATGTGGAGAGGTGGATTCAGTGTTTACAACTGGAGTTTCCAGTTGTGGCGTTCAAAGCATCAACACAGATCCAGGACAAAACAGTGGTACGCGGTGCATTGTACAACAGTGTTTTTCAGTCGTGTAGAATCGCATCAGTTTTTGGATGCATTTATGAGCGAAAGGCTTCTAAACCCTATTTCAACAAATACAAGTTCGTTCTAATTCAGCTTTTTTAAATATAATGTCAAAATCAATTTAATTAATTGCAGTGCAAATATGTGATGGGCCATCTACCTGTCTGTACCTCATTGTAATATGGAGGACTGAGAAGGTTGAGCAGCTTGTGTTGTGCTGCTGTAACTGGTTATAACCTCCAAGAGTAACTCACAAACCACACCTCCTAATTGGCTCTGTCACAAGCAGAGCTGATGTGAGTGTTTGTGAACAAAACAAATTGTGTTTTTAAAATTTCAATATGTGCATGCTGTATTACTCAGACAGTGGGAGGGAGCTTCAGTCACTTCAAATGCAATGATGGTATATGAAAAGTAAATCTATATGTCTGGTTCTGTCTTCACCAGCAAGCCAAGAAGAGCAGGATAACGGCCTCTAATGAAGTCCTGGACAAATCCAGAGGAGCAGCCTGCTTTGGAAATGGTTGTCTCACTGAGCTCCTTACACGTTTTGCTGTAAACACAAAGAATGAAGCTTCACTCAGAGTGGGCATAGTTGGTAAGCACAGCTTTTTAGCTATATAGTGACTTCCTCTTTGTCAGTTGTGGATTTAGATGAAGCACTGAGTTCTATGAAGACTGTAAATCCTTTACTGTCAGTTGCAGCTCTGTGGTATAGATATACTGTACTGATTCTGGTTGTGAAGTTCTTTGAATTTGTTCATAGTACGTAGTCCAAATGTTGATGATTGATGCAATCTCCTTTTAACCTCAGGTTTTCCTAATGTGGGGAAGAGCAGTCTCATCAACACTATGAAGGGGATCCTGGCGTGCAATGCTGGCATCACGAGAGGCATCACAAAGTGAGTGATAAATAAGCATAAAACACTAGACTTACCTGTTACAAATTGGAAGCATTATGCGCATTACTGTCAGATTAAGTTTTATGACGTTGTAATTAACATATTTCTTAGCCCCTCTTATTTGTAGCTTATCCCCATAGTCAAATGTTACCTGTTACTGCCCCCTCAGATCCATGCAGGAGGTGCACATCTCAAAGAATGTGAAGCTAATTGACAGCCCCGGAGTCGTGGCATCGCCGTCCAACCCGCCAGTCTCTATGGCTCTGAGGAGCTTGCAGATGGAGGAGGGCCAGGAGAGTGTGCTGGAGGCTGTCAAGACTCTGCTCAAACAGTGTGACAAGACCCAGGTAGGAGGAGGAGAGATGTGTGACTGGTTTGATGGATTTGGGTGGTGGCGTTCTTGCAAGTTAGTGTTAATTATTCTGTCTTCTGCTCTGAATGTTTCAGGTCATGCTTCAGTACAATGTCCCCAACTTCAGAAACTCTCTGGAGTTTTTAACGTTGTTATCCAAAAAGCGTGGGTATCTGCAGAAGGGTGGAGTCCCCAATACTGAGCAGGCAGCCAGAGCTTTCCTTGCTGATTGGACAGGGTGAGTCTTTTGTATTTTCCTAAAAGATTAGGTCGGCAGCATCAGTGTGGAAATGAGGACAAAAACGCAATTCTGGATTTCATTTTGAAGACTTCAAATCCAACTCTGATCCCAACACGGTGCCAGGATAACTGCAAATATGTAATAAAGTAGAGTAGGGAGTGCTGTGTCTTGACATGATTTCACAAAAACTGGTGTTTGGTTTCCATCAGAGCCAAGCTGAGCTACTTCTGTAAGGCACAGGAGAACCACAGCCTCCCGGCCTACATGACCGATGCAGTGGTCGCTGAGATGTGGAACGGCTGGGATCTAAACCAACTGAAAACAGGCAACGAGGAAACTCTGAAAGGTAATCGTGTTTTAATTTGACTCATTAAACAACAGATATTCTGTTTCATTAGGGAGTAGGGGTGTGATGAGATCTCGCGAGATTAAATTGTGACAGTTAACATAAATTACATTTTTCACATGCTGTCAAGCCACAAATAAATTTTCTCACACAGTGAAATACAAATGTATAGCTCATAAGATTCACAGCGAATCTGCTCCGCGCTGTGAGTCAAGACAGTTTTGACCAGTGGAAATGTAGCTGTAAGAGGTTTGCAAAATAAACTTGAAGTGCAAAAACTGAAGTGCCTCCTTGCTCTGTTCGTGACTGTGAGCTGCACTTTATCTGAGCTGCTGAAGTTAATGTGTGTGGATCTGTGTTCAGATTACTGCCTGAACAAAAGTGTTTAATTTACTTATGGTTTCATATGCAACATGCAGTCGCAAACTGTGCCGGTCAAATGGTCTGAAGGGGATGATGTTAGCGGATCAATAACATAACGCACAGCAGACTAAAGGGCAGGTAGACTTCTCATCAAATGATGACGTTAGTCTCATAATATTCTGTCTTTTTGCTGGACATGAACACTGGTCAGAGAGCACATATGTGGGAGAGATTCCACAAGCAGAAAAGTTGCTGAAACACAAGGTATTTAAAGTCCAGGAGTTTCTATCTAACTTAAAATTTAATAATTTATCATTGAGGTGACTAAATCATGACGCAGGAGGGATGATATTACATTTGAAAGTCTGAAAGCAGCACAGAATGACTGAGAGCTGCACTGACTTATATTCTGTTATAGTTAGGCTATACAGTTTTGTCACCGGCCACCTGAATTTTGTGTTTTTATTTATATAATTTAAAAAATCACCATAAACGATTTCAGAGAAATTCATCAGAATGCAGGAAATAAAGTGTTTAATGCTAAAAATCTAAATATAATTCAGCATTGAAGATTTCTTTTAAAAAGTGCTAAAGTCCCGTATCAATCTCGTCGGTTAAGTGTCTCGTCACACCCCTATTAAGCTTGATTTATACTCCTGCGTAGGGTCTATGTGCTTAGCTACGCCGTAGGCTACGCACGTAGCCGTGCATTTATACTTGTGCGTCGGTGTCCCCGTCATTCTGCAATTACACCCCCAAACACTAGTCGGCAGTAGCGCTACAGCGTCCACGGTGTTGACTTTTGCCGGCCAAGCAGGCTAACTTCCGGTTTAGCGCTCCGCTAACGTGAATGGGGTTAAAATTGTAAACGTCCGGCTGGTGTAGCCTTTTCAAATGTTATCGACCGAATGGATCACATTCTGAAACAAGTCATTTCGCTCGGGTTGTGACAGTCAAATATATTGATCCACGGTGTTACAGCCGCCGTTTTGGCTGCTAGTTAGTTACTACAAAGCACGGGGTACTTCCGGTCGGCTCGGAGGCATTGCGAGGCTACCCAGCCAACCAATAATAATATCTTAATCTTTATCACAGTGCTTACGGTCCGCGTCGACGTGTAGTTACATTTTTGAGGAGGTGCACGTCAGGCTATGGTGTAGGTGACGGTGTAGAGTAGGGGGCTACGCCGTTGATTCAATGCAGAAGTATAAATTGCACTTTAGGGAGTGTGGGTGAAGGGATACCTGTCAACACTGTCTCTGTTAATTCAATGTTTTGTGGGGGGTTTTTTGTTGTTGTTTTTTTTTTTTTTTTGTATATTTCGTCTCTCATATTAGTGTTCCAGTTAACAAGTCGGAAACCTTGCTCGGCCAACTAGTTTACAACTAGCCAGGTTAGCTGTTAGCTGTTACGCCGGTCCTTCTTCTCTGACATCATCACCAAAAACGATAATAATGCATGTGCCCTGTTAGCTACTGTTGACAGGCTAACCAACCCTCCTGTGTCTGTAGCCTCTGAACTTCTATCCACCAGGGCCTGCAATGAATTTGCTTCCTTCACAGGCAAAATTCAAACAATTAGACAAGCAATCAGTGCCTCCATGTCAGTAACAGGATATGTCTTGTCCCTGTGTCCACTTAAAAACAATTCATATAGCATGACACAATTTTAACCATAAACACCTGGAGGACATAATACAACATCTGAAATCCTCCTCATGCTGCCTTGATATTCTGCCAACAGGTTTTTTCAAAAATGTGTCTAAATGCATGGCCTCAGATTTACTACAAATTGTCAACATGTCTCTCCTCTCAGGTTTTTTCCCACAGGCCCTGAAAACTGCAGTCATTAAGCCACTCTTAAAAAAGAGCAATCTAGACAGTTCACTGAGCAATTATAGGCCCATATCAAATCTCCCATTTTTAAGTAAAATCACTGAAAAGGCTGTTTTTCAACAGCTTAGTGCTTTCTTGGCACTAAATAACTGTTTTGATGTCTTCCAATCAGGTTTTCGACCACACCACAGCACTGAGACAGCTCTTGTTAAGGTCTTCAATGACATCCATTTAAACACTGACAGTGGCAGAATTTCAGTCTTAGTATTATTGGATCTAAGTGCTGCATTTGACACGGTCAACCACAACATATTACTAGACAGACTTGAAAACTGGGTTGGACTTTCTGGCACAGTACTAAACTGGTTTGAATCCTACTTAAAGGACAGGGACTACTTTGTACTACTATAGGTAATCACACATCTGAGCTGACAAAAATGACATGTGGAGTTCCCCAAGGCTCCATTCTGGGACCTCTTTTGTTTAACATTTACATGCTTCCACTGGCTCAGATTATGAAAAACAATATGTTACCATAATTATGCAGATGACACACAGATTTACATAACCATTTCACCAGGGGCTCACTGTATTGAGCAGGTCAACGATTGGATGTGCCAGAATATTCTTCAATTAAACAAGGATAAAACTGAAGTTATTGTTTTTGGAGCCAGGGAGGAACGATTGAAAGTCAGTGCTCGACTTCAATCTGTAATGTTAAGAACCACAAATCAAGCCAGAAATCTTGGTGTAGTTATGGACTCAGACCTGAATTTGAGGAGCCATATTAACACAATTACAAAGTCAGCCTACTATCACCTGAAGAATATATCAAGGATTAAAGGACTTATGTCTCAGCAGGACCTGGAAAAGCTTATCCATGCATTTATCTTCAGTCGACTTGACTACTGTAACAGTGTCCTTATAGGGCTCCCTAAGAAATCCATCAGACAGCTGCAGCTGATTCAGAACGCTGCTGCTAGAGTCCTCACTAAGACCAAAAAGGTGGATCACATCACTCCAGTTCTGAGGTCTTTACATTGGCTTCCTGTATGTCAAAGAATTGATTTCAAAATCCTGCTGTTAGTTTATAAAGCACTAAATGGTTTAGGGTCAAAATACATTTCCGATCTTCTGCTTCGTTACGAACCATCCAGACCTCTCAGGTTGTCTGGGGCAGGTCTGCTTTCTGTCCCCAGAGTCAAAACTAAACAAGGCGAAGCAGCGTTCAGTTATTATGCTCCGTATATTTGGAACAAATTCCCAGATAACTGCAGGTCAGCTGAAACAGTCGGTTCTTTTAAATTAAGACTGAAGACTTTTCTTTTTACCATTGCTTTAAATTAAATATTTAAGAATTTTCTTTTTACTGATAACTTACACTGCACTGTAACTTTTATTGTCCCGTTTTCTTTGTTTTTAGCTCTTTATTATTTTCTATTTAACTCTTTTAACCCTGATTGTAACACTGTAACTTTTATTATATTTTCTGTTTTTAAAATTTTACATATTTCCCTGTTGCTTTTGTGTTATGTAAAGCACTTTGAATTACCTTATTGTAAAATTGTGCTATACAAATAAACTTGCCTTGCCTTTGAAACTTACGACTTTGAACACGGAAATTCCAACTTCCATATCAAATGGAACGCACCATGACTTTAACATTGGGTGTAAAGAGTTAAATGGCCTCTTGGGGCCACTAGTGGGCTTTTAGACTCCAGATGTGTCAATGTACTGTAGTCTCTGTGTTGCTGAAAACAACCTGTTGCTTTTTTTTAGGTGTTAAATTCCCAAACCAGGCCAGCAGTATAGGCTTCACCTCTAAAGGCCCAACTGCAGGCCTGCTGAGTGTCAGCGATATCTCTGAAGAAAAACCCAGTGCTGCAGCCGCAAAGACAGATGCAGAGCAGAATGATGAGAAGAATGAGGTAACTAGATGGAAATGTGTTTTTTTTTGTTTGGTTTTTTTGGAAAACTGCCAGACAATACAGCTGCTGCAAATAATGCTGGAAATGAGGACAAAAATGAATGTCTTAATTTGTTTATGAAGACTTCTAATCCAACTCTGATCCAGCTGGCTGGACCCTTCTTTATTTAAAACACTGTGGATCTTAAGGATTACTGGACTTAATATTTGAAACATCTGCTCTTCTTGCAGCCTGAACAAACTGCTGTGGAAGTAAATAAAACAGAAGAACCGGAGGAACCACAGACGGCGCCACTCAGAAGCGTGCGGTTCCAGGTTGTCCCCATTGACACCAGCCTCTCTGTAGCTGCAGAGGACGACGCCTATGACTTCAACACAGATTTTAAATGAGCTTTGCCCTTCACACTGTTTCTTAACTCGTGCCTGTGGTCTGGTGGATATGGCAGACCCAGATTTGTCAGCATACATGAACATGCTGACAAAGAATCAGTGTCAGGGTGTCTTTGACCATCTCATGACCGGTTGATTGGTTGCTTCAGAATCTGTTTGAAAGGCACTGGCCAGTTGAGTGGTTTCAGGCTCGTCGTTGCGTGTTTGTGGTCCTCCTTCAAACTTTGAATCAGGACAGGGACAGTTTCCAGTAAAGGACTAACCATTTATCCTAGACTACATTTTTCAGAATTTTTGTCTAGGACTTAATCCCTGCACAGGAAACGGATTTATCTATTTAGTGGATATCCACTAACTTCTCCGAGAAGACTGCCGATTTTAAATGTGCAGAGGTAATTTGTAATATTTTGTGTTCATGCAGAATACTGTATATAAATGTAATAAACCCTCTACAAAGCCTAAATCTGTTTATTTTTTTTGCCCCTCTACTAACTACCTGTATTTTACCAAAACCATGAATTGACATTACAACTAATAGTTTCATGCAGTAGTGACATTTAAACTGCATTGCCTTTGGCTCGTAATTATTTCACACCCCTTTTACAGTAGGTAAGTATTACAGAAAACTAGACACAATCCTGACAATGTCAAATCTGGAGAGAAGAAAAACTGTTCATTGCAGACAAATAAAAAAATAAAATTTGATTGATAAAAATGTACATTTTATTTCATGTACTATACAAAACATGACATACTTGCACCAGCAAGGTGACTGCTTTTTGAGGTTTTAAAAAACAAAAATATCCTGATGGGGATGAAATGTGAGAATTTTGTGCATTTCTGCAGAGGTGCTGTTTGTTTAGTGGTCTGTATATAAAGTCATTAAAAAAACAGTTGAGCATCAGAGGCAGTACAACACTGAATTAGTGTTCATTTATGGCATAGTTAATTCATACTTGGGATAAATCAAAATGATAGTGTCCTATTAGCTTGACTGTAGTTGCACTGGATTAACAATTGAGAATAACAGAACAGAGTTAAACAGCATTTTGTGTCTGATTGTGATGGAAATGCTGCCCTAAGCACAGCTTTAACAAGATGTTAATACAAAGATCTGACAAATAAACCAATGAGCCATTAAGCATAAAAAATTAATTACTTTTCCACAGGAAGTATTGAATTGAGGTAACGAAATGAGGCATGTGCACGGCTAATATGTTCACAATTCAGACAGAAGTGAGAACTCTGAGGGGAACGTGTTTGAACAAGCTATAAACTGTGGGGTCGACTGCTTCACTGTCATGGCTGAGGTAACTACACACTCATTTAGTATGCAAACAGCGTAAATTGTCACAAGGTATCTCATTACTGCTGACTGGGACTGATGCATACGTATGTCTAATCATTTCATCAGGATGAAACACTGCTCTTACACAAGCGACTGTCAAAGCAATCTTAAGGGCGCAGAGTTTCTGAACTAAAAATATTTGTGCACTCCAAGCAGTAATAGAGATTCACTGGGTATATAAAAAATGTCTTGTGTGTTTAAGGGATTGTGAGACTGCACAGGTCTACGTGTGCGGAGGAGGACCGAACTCAAGTACAGAGCTGGGAAAAGGCCTAACTTAGTTCCTGAGATATTGCGAGGTGTGGTCCTGCTGGGACTCGGCTGGCTTGGGTGGTCGAAAGTTCCTGAAACAAAATTTTCCCGTCTAGTTGTCCCCTGTGTGTCTTCGCACTGGATGAAATTTTCCTGTGGGGTCTGGAATGAACCACTTGTCCCACACGTCAGAAAAGGATGACGTTCTCCCCCAGGGCTTATAGTGCCCGTTCCAGTGGAGGAGTTTGGCAGCTTTCACAAACTGTGGGGAGTAGCGGTTTCCGGCGCCTGTAGTACCTGGAAAAACAATGTTTTGCCATCATGTGATCATTCAAATGTCTGACACTGTTCATTGTATTTGGCTTCAAAAACATGCAAACCAAGCAAACATTCTGAAATTCTAATTAAAGAAATATGACACCAAAAAGTTTAACCAATACTTGCATCCTTCACAGACCACAGAAGAAAGTCGGTTATAACTTCTGGTACAATTAAAGCAACAGAAAAAGTACCTCAGAAGGTCTGCTAAAGGAATAGTTCAACATTTTGGGAAGTAAGCGTTACACGAGAAGATCAATACCACTCTCATATCTGTCCATTAAATGTGAAGCTAGAGAGCCAGGAGACAGTTAGCTTAGCATAATCACTTTGGAGCAGGGGGAAATATTGAACCATTCCTTTAAAATCTCTTCTCAAAATACTCACGCAGCACAAGTCTGGGCTATATACGCCCAGTACACGTGGATAAGTATGTGTGGAAGTATCGCACAAACCTCCCAGAGAAACTTGTCCACATGGAAAGCTTGATCTCTTAATGTGTTGCAGTTCCCAATCAGCAACTTACCAAGATGCCTGACGTGCCACATGGGGTCGATGGTGGAGTGACGTTTGTAGAAAACAATGAGGAGTGGGGGGGCTGTGATACTCTCTGCCAGTGTCTTACTGTACAGATCCTCCCTGAGGAAATTAACACATTCAGCTTAATGTGAACAAAAAGCATCCATGATATTAGAGTTCTGTTCAACTGATGTAAAATTCCAGACTTTTGCCTTCAGACTGCCTCATATTCACCCATCTTGTCACCAGTGTGAGTAAACGTACCGCGTGTTCAGTTCCATCCAGTGCTCCAGCTGCCGCGTGATGTTCTGGTTCCTCCACTCGGTCAGGTTAACGATGATGACCCCGGGGTTGAAGGAGCACGTGTTGGCCCTCATCCCCTGCTTCTTGATAGCCTCCTTCTTGAAGTCCAGGAAACCTATATAGTTCTTCTATTTTAAAAAAAAATCATGGTGTAATCAAAATGTTGCCACATTCACCAAGAACCTCCACATTATGATGCTCTTTATTTTTTTACATAATTGAAAAAAGTCAGCTCATGATGCCCACCTGATTTCCAGCCCCTCGAACGATGCCCTTAGCAGATGCTGAATCACAGTCATCTGAAAAGGCAGCTGCATGTCCTGGTTTGAGGTTGGTTTCATAAAGCTCCTGAATGTCCCCTGAGATCCAACAGAACAGGCATCAATTCCCTTCCTGATAATCTTTTCTCCTACTGCTCTTACATGTATATTTTTGAGAGTGTAATGGTGCTCGGAAAACACATTTTCTGAATGACAAGCAGCTGGAAAATACTACGTTTATGGCCAAGTTAATTATCTTCCTTTCATGGTGGTGTCTTACCTTGTACAATGATATCGTCATCCAAATAGATAGCTTTCTCTGCCTCGGGTATGAATGCAGGTAGATAAAACCTGGCAAAAGACAACTGAAAAATAGATAATTAAAACAATGTTTGCAAGGGATGAAGAAAGGTAAACGGTATTATGAAAACTTATTCTGGCACATTGAGAAAACACTCAGTTGTCTCACCGGTTTTGCAGCCTCCAGCGTCTGAGGATCTTTAGATATCTTCCCATTGAGGATCTCAGGCTTGAAAATAACCAACTTATACTTTATATTTTTCAGGTTTGTCTTGCTAAGCCACACTCTGTTGGTAAAACAAACAAAAAAAATCCTCTTAGCTTTGGTAAAAACAATGAGACCTGCATTAATATGCCCAAGGCAACATAATGGTATGCATGATGAAGCAAGAGAGACCTGCTTTATTGTCTTACTTTAGGTGATCCACTGTGTCATTCAGGGTCACTATTGTGAAGACGACGTTGGCTTTACTGTTCTGGTAGACACTGTTCATGGCAGCAACCACAGCACCGAGTCTTTCCTCAGCAGCTGTGATGAGGACGGGGATCTCCTCTCCTTTCCTCACCGACTCTAGTCTGAGGTCTGGAGACAACTCCGATTCAAAGGGAAGAATCATCTCCGCACCTGGATAAAGACATTTTGGGGGGTTTCACAAACTGCTTGAATTATTTAATTTTATGCACTGAATTTGTCTGATGGGATGTTGACAACACGCAAGATATTCTGATTTAAAAAGTGTACCCCACACATGTAGGTAACAGAATAGCGGACACACAGTATACTTCCCCCAGCACAAAGATAAGCACACCTGGATGTTCCTTGTGTAAGAAGTCCCTGAGGTTTAGGAGATTTCGTTGAACTATGATCAGGAAGGCCACGGCCAGCAGCACAAGGATGACCACGTTTACTACAAGATATGACAAGAGCTTATGTTTGTAATAGCAGTGGTAAAGTGTCAGTATCCACAAATCTGTAATAAGTAATGTTTTATGTAATGTAAATGGCAGCCATTGTGCCTCAGCACTGGCCTACCAGAATCTATTAAACTACTGTTTCCACACTGTGCTACAGTAACGTTTTCTAGACATAATTACACATTTCTGAGGCGCAAATAAGAAGTCACTTCATGTAACCTGACTCACCTCTCCTCAATGTCATGGCAGCGGCCGCATCCGTCCCTTCAGTACCCCTGATAAAAATATAAATTGTTACAAAAATAATAATAATAATAATAATCAGTGCAGCCCAATCTCTATTATCTGCTTAGCTAATGAGGACTGAGGTGAACCCGAGTCGCTGCTGCACCCCTGCGTGGCGACACACAACTGGACCGTTCGCAAACTACAGGCTTTTAACTGTGTGTTAATATGATTCAGTTTAAAATGTATACAGCGCAGGTAAAAGCAGCTCTTAACACAAACCAGACAGGACAGTGGAAATAATTCACGCCAGAGCCAAACTGCCAACTCAACATCAACAAGTTTATCCCTTACCACAATTGCACGTAGTAATAGATGCCCATGCGTTTGCCTGATTGTAAAATTACATTAACTTGCTGTTTCCAGTTTGTATAAAACAATTATTGTTTTTTTAATAATATGTATACATGACTTAATGACGAGAGATACCGGGTAAAAACTGTATGCTTAAAATATAATAGCTAAACGTAGTTAGATATTTTGACGTAAAGTCATTTAGGGAGGCGAACTAACACAAACCAAATGGATCATCAACATGAAGCATCCACAAGCACTTTGCTCAATTCATATTGTTTATAGATCTGTGAAACTGCGCGGCGCAGCAAACGCAACGTTAAGTTATAACACGCAGGAGTGGCTGGATGGGTCCTTCACAACACGACGTATCGGTTTGGTACCGGAAGTCAAATCGCTTCGGCTCGTTATACCGTTTGAACCAAACTCTTCCCGTGTATGCGTGTTTATTTTAAGTGAAAAGATGCTGTCCATATTCAAGTCTATTCCCACTCACATGGTAAGAGATAATTTGAGCTGCACGCTAGTCGTTCATTCTTGCTTTTCTGTCAAGCTAACATTAATTCTTAGCTAGCCAGTGCAGTTGTTAAGTTAACCTTAACGTTACATCGGTAACAGCTGCTATGCTAGCTATTGTTATAACATCGTTCAAAGTTACAATAAACATCGTTTTCTGATCAGTTGTGGCTTTAACAGAGCCACATATCAAGTGAATATGCATGTATTGTGAATGAACCTAAGTCGCCAGTTGTTGCTTGATCTTGTGGCGCACACCTGTGACTTCACTACATTGGACCTTGTTTAAGAACCGTTAGCTTGGTATTGCCAATAAATTTGTGTAACGTTAAACAACGCTATCAGACAACACCAATTTCTCACCCGCTATTTATTTTGCAGACACACTACCCTCTTTACCTCAGCCTGTACGGAGTTTGTGTTATTAAAGTTGCCTAAACGATGTCCCCCTTGTGTTACAGGATTATAAAGGCCAGAAGCTGGCTGAACAGATTTTTCAAGGAATAATACTCATCTCAGCGGTAACTAACCATGACTTCTACAAACTAGCAACTCAAAATAGGTCTACAGAATGATACTGCGTTGTTAGCCGTTATCAGGATCACTGATATCATTTGTATCGTCTCTCCAGGTCATTGGATTCGTCTACGGTCTGATCATTGAACAGTTTGGGTGGACGGTGTACATAGTATTGGCTGGTTTTGTTGTGTCCTGTGTGGTAAGTTTCTATCTGCATTGTCTGCTTCATTTGTGAAGATTTGATATAGATTTAGATGTTGTGTAGCCACAATAATTAACTCTGCTAATTTTTGTTTCTGCTAATCCATACCTCTCTGCTGCACATTGTTGGCTGTACACCATATGAAGGCTTCTTACAGTGGGCCTTCAACAGCCAAAATCATAATTTCTTCTGTTTCTGCCCTTGACTTCAGCTGACCCTGCCGCCATGGCCTATGTTCAGACAGAATCCTCTCTCCTGGCAGCCAGTTGTACCAGAGACCAGCAGCGAATCCAGCCAAAAGCCTCAGGAAAGTCTCAAGAAGAAGAAGCACAAATAACTCTGAGCTACTGTGAATTATCCCTACCTGGCTGTTAATACATCGTTTTATATTGGAAATTATTTTGAATTCTGTCTCTCAGTTTCCATTATTAGAAGCATTTGGGGGGGAAACGTTGTTACAGTGTTTATCAGTCAATAATGAAAAACATATGTGTCCAAATAATAAACATCTGATACTGCCTTTGTTTTATAAATGGGATGAGGGATTTTTTTTCTGCAGGACTTGCTGAGTATGTTACTGTGATGCATTTCTTCTTCTTTCAGTTGTCGCTGTCAATGAAATTGTTTTATTGTGGTTCTCAACATTATGGAAAACGGATATAAACAAAACAATACATTTAGGATTTATTAGAAATCATTGAAATGTTAATATCTACAATGCATCTACATTACATTATTTTGTGTTTAAGAAAATACAATACAGCAACAGAAGTGAGATCTAGTGTCTTCAAAGATACAGCATAGGTAAAAACAATTGTTCAAATTCTGTCCTGCATTATAAATAGAGTATCCACTACAAAAAGTAGAAAGAGTGCTTTAACATAACTCAAGCTTTGCATAGGAATCCTGAAAATTACAAGAATAATTCACAAATCCTGTTTGAAGAATAAGGTGGGAAAAAAACAACTTAAAAACAGTAATTTAACTTTTACTGCTCACACAAGGGCAGACATTGTGGCAATTCTGTGACAAAACCTGCAAGCATAAATGATCAATGCATGCAAGCAGGAGGAAGAAAGTAGCAACGCCACACAAACAGGGTGGTCTTTTGGCAGGAAACAAATGAACCTTCTTGTTCACAGTATAGACAGGTTTTCACTTGAGTACAAGTTTCTATTTGAGGACTGAGACGTTTCTCTCAAAGACAAAGTTTCTTGTTAAACGAGACCTGTCAAGATTCTTGCCTCTCGTGAACATGTTCTCACAAGTGGTGTTTTGGAAACGCAAATGTGTATGCAGCATTTTCTCTAAACCTTGAAGGCGTTGTCCTCAAAGAATTTCAGCTGCCTCACCATTACAGCATAAGCGTGGTACTTGTCATCCCCCATCTGATTACGAAGGCACAGCTGCAGTGAGAAAAAGGGATGCCAACTGTGATCATTTTGGAAACAAAGGACAGGTGAATTATAGTTCTTAAAGTTTGCAGATAAACTGGCTGCACTGTGCAAGGACATGTTAATCTATTTCACAGGTGTGATTAGAAGTTAGTGTTAAGTTAGTTTCTTTAGTTAAAGGGGTCCATTTAATTGTGAACAAGCAGTTTCCATATGTCTGACATACAAATTGATGAGTGCATTTGAAAATCACAGCCATTTCTGGATGTAACTTGTATCTTTATGACATATTATACTTATGGTATAGAGGTGCACAATATATTTCACTTAAGGAAACCATAATATCTCTAAGCATTGTGCACAGATGGACATAATATATTTAGTTGCTCCTACTGTACATTTTATGTTATTGACAGATTTTAGCAGTTACACCGTGGGTGCAGTATAAATGATTTGGTGTGATGTGTTTTACTTGTTAAAAATCTTACTTCTCGTTTGTTGTCATCCTCCTCCTCCATGATATCCAGGACTCTGTCCAGCAGCTTGACCCCCAGGCCCTTCACTAGATCTGTTCTCAGGTGTTCTATGGCTCTCCTTATCTTGGCTGGGCCAGACGTGGAGCCTTTAGGAGATACAAGCTGGTTAAACACAAGGAGGCTCCAGAATGGCAACAGAGTTTGACTGAAGTGTCTAACCTTTTGGTATTTCACCAAGCAACAGGTTCTCTGCTCCCTCTCGAGCCTTCCCGTGAAGCACCAGGGTGTCCCTGTACTTCTTGTTGAGTTTAAATTCCGGCAGTGCCGTAGAGCCAAATTTGCTGCTCTTTCCCACCTCGCTCACACCGTCTCCAATATCCATTCTCAGGGTTTGGGTCATCATATGGACTAAATCCTGCATGTCGCTGGATTCGGTCTTCCTGCAGATGACCCATAAATCGTGGTTTATACAGCATATATGTTAACAGAGACTTTCCAGAGCTAAAAATATAAATAGCAAAGCAATAGCGTGACTGTAGTTCAGTTGCACTTTATGTTATTTTCTGCTGTCGTCGACGCTCTCACCTTTCCCTGCAGTCTGCCTCTGAACGTTCTGTGGAACTTGTGGACGAGCTGCACTCATCTTCATCTGACCTTTGCTCCGGCAGCTTATCCTGCTGTAATGAAACATATCCCACTGCTGTGTCACAATAGTTTGACAGAGACTTCTGTTTTACATTCATTATAACATAAGTTTAGTGGCACAAGGCATATCTAGCCTTTACTGTCTTGCTTTCAAAAAGTGCAGTTCCCTTTTAACAACTGTACAAAGTACAACTGAATGTCACGGTGATGAGGTGTCAGTACCTTACTATTGGTCTCAGTGTCTGAAACGGATCTGGTAACTGGGGTGTTGTAGTGCTCATCCTTGGTGGAAGTGACATCATAAGACGCCCTTCTTACCACACTAACGCCTGTGTAAAGAGCAGAAAATTAAATCAAGAAAATCAGTCACCTACCAACTGCTACTTTTTTTGTTTTTTAATCGAGCTGTAATAATGTATAGAATATCTCACCAACAATGTGCATGTGTATGTTTGTTTCCTGGTGTCCTGAAGTATAAAAAAAATATGTGTGTATGGAAGTACATTTTCTAGGATTACTGTTTTTGATTTTTCCTTCCTTTCCCAGCTTCTACAACTTAAGTTTTACTGTTTTTTCGTTATTGGTCCAACTATAATGTTTTAGTTAGGAGAAGATAGTAAGTACCTGGTTGGCCGGCACTCTCCTGTGACTGCCTCAGTCTTCTCCTCTCTCTGGCAGATAGAGGACGATCCTGAAAATAAAATCGGCCCACATTATTTGTGATTGAAAAACTGCATCTGCTGATTTCAGCAAGAACCGACCGAGACCATCAGCCACAAGCACAAAAAGAATTAGGACAGAAACAAAGCTTTTGATATTGTCTCGTATTACATTCAAACCATGGTCTCAAATGATTTACACCTACTGAAAGAAAACTTTTAAATCATTTTTCATATTGCAGAAATGTTATGACACAGCTTATTAGGCAAAATAGATATTCAGTCTTTGCAGTAATGTGGCTGTATGCTCTGTGTGAGTGGAGGAGCACTCTCACCTGTGGCAGTGGTAAGAATCCGTCCTTACAGGAAATAACTGATGTGGAGGTTGCGGCTACACTAGCTTTCTTGCCCTCTGTACTCCTCCTGCTCCTCTTCCTCCCCTCCACGGCTGTGCTCTCAACAGGAGGTGGAGGTAAAGGTCTAGAAGCAGACACCTTGGACTAACAGAAAGCATAAAAGTCTCACATTTGTCAAATTTATTGTCTGGCCGGAGCAGAAAAATGTACTTGAAAGAGGATATTTTCAACAATCATATCTTGACTTTATCTTAGATCTGAAAATACATTTTGACAGTTCACAGCATTTAATAAGCTTGCATGATTTTCTGGGAAAAATGTTTTCCATGTTGTCCTATGAGGCAATAGCATTTAGGATAAATAAACTGAACTGCTTTCCTTTTTTTATATATTTTGATTCAGAGCCCAACAATCTTTGCACTTCCGGTTGCTAAAGCTAAGATATCTAACAGTAGCTCCTGTATCTGCCTTTACCTTGTCTTGATCGCCATGTGTCCATCTTGTGTCCCTCCCTCTGTGCTGCTGGGATACAGAAGGTTCTGATGAAAAGTACAGCGGAGTTTTGCATGGAGTGCTCAGACCCGGGTTACTGACTGGTAAGGGTGAGTCCTCCTCAACAGGATCCTAGACAGACACCAATACATTTAAACTGGCAGAAAATCTTCCCACAATTTAATTTATTCTGGCAGGAGCTGCCACAGAATGAGTACAAGAATTTTAATGCTCACCAGTGTTGGAGGAAACGGCTCCAACAGCTTTTCAGTAGATTCTAGGTTTTCCTACAAACACATCAATTAACGCATGCAAACAAATTCTTCACAAGAAAACAGCAGAAATACCGCTCTACTACTAAGAGCACTTACTTGGATTTTGGAGGTATGGTGTTGTGTCAGCGCTCCTTTGAGAAGGGTAACAGTGTCATTGTTATTGTCTACATTAGCTTCCACAACCACTCCAGTATTTCCTATATTAGATTTGTGTGCAGGTCTCCTCTCAGGGATAGAAAAAGCAGCCTCGTTCTCCACTTCTACCTTTGGGTTCTGCATGTCAGCCTCTTTCAGTAACTCCATGGTGTCATTCTTATCATCCACATCTGACATCTGTTTCTCTGCAGAGACAGAAAATGTATCCCCAGGGTTTGACATGGCCTGGGGATGAATGTCTAACAATCCATTGGATGCCCTCCTCTCATCTCCTCCCCTGCCGCAAACACCTGATACAGACTTCAGAGTGGGCTTAAGAGGGGAAGGAGGGGGAGAAGGATCGGGTTTCCCTCTTCCCTTGCTGTCTTTGTGAACAGTGTGAGCCACAGGTTCATTACCTGCCAGGTGGTGAGACACAACTGTCTGGGGCCCCTGCGCCTGTCTCTTCAGCAGGTCCTTGTCCCCTTGGAGTTGGATATCAATATTAATGTTGCTGATGGTTGCCAGGGATGTGATGCTGGCTTTGAGAGCATCAGGTGAAGAGGGTTTGGGTGGCAGAGGTGTTTGGACTGGAGTGCACTCGGTCGCGCCATTCCAGACTTTATGTTGTGTCTCTTCTTTCTGATGAAGAGAAAAAACAGAAACTATAATAAACACTGATGGTTCCCGGCATGACGACAGCTGTACAGTAATCTGAGCAATCCACTGGACTGTTTTATCTTACTACTTTGATAAACCTACACACACACACACACACACACACACACACACACACATTGAGAAAAAATATACAATAATAGAACTTATTTAGGATTGGTCATGACAACTTGGAAAGCCTTAATGCGATGTCATGTACTGTATGTTATGAATCTAAAGATATGAACATTATACATGTGTACTGATTCTGTCTCAAAATAAAAAGTTCTGAAAGGTATTTACACAATGTTACTTGAATCCAACAACACTTGCTCGCTGGCTTTACTGTAATAGAGTAAAGAAATGTGCCAGTAATATGTTTTCTACCTGCTTACTGTGACCAAGTAAAGTGCTTTCATTGAAAAAGTCAATTAATTCAGTGTCCCAATTAAACTAATTAAGCTTAGAAATATGAATGTCAGTCGTCCTTATTGCTGGCTATTTACAAAGCACAGTAGCCCACCGTTAATTAATTAATTATAAAAGACATTGTTCATCTTGGCCAATGCATTACTGTCCATGACAGCCATGTCCAAGTGACAAACCAATACTTTCAACTTAGATGATTAGGTGGGCACTTTATTTGAACTAGCAGGACTGAGTTAACCGATGACATGCTACCATTCAAATCAAAAAGTTCCTATTCATAATGAAGCTTAATTGTTGAGTATAACAGAAAGTACCTGTATGTTACTATTAGTCTATTTTAAGATCTATTATGAGAAATAAAAGAAAATCCCAGAATACATTTTCAATATGTGACAACGCAGTAATTCACCACTGAGTGATGGACATCATGAGGTACTATGGGAATATTCTAAAATATTGTGTTAAACCAGCCTCGTTATTCTGTATTCACTCACCCGTTTCACCCTGGCTAAAGGTTCAGGCTGGGCACTTCTCTCAGGTTTTAGCTGAGATGACACAACAGGTGATTTGGCCCTACAATCACCAGTGCCACCCACAGCTTTCTTTCTTGACTTGGCAGTTTTTCTGGTAAAAAACAAAAACACCTGAGTAAAGTTTAATCATTTTATCGACTGCTAGCAGCTCACTGTGACAGAGGAGCAACAACAAAGGAGGGATGGAAATCAGCATTCATATAGAGATCTATACAAAGAAAACAAACAAAAAGCATTGATTGAGGTTTTTGCATGAAACTAAAAGCTTCGAAGAAATGAAAAATAACAGCAAGCCAGTCTGCTCTCTGTGCCACCTACTCTTTAGTGGCCTCAAGGAACATGGCAATTTGTCTTTTGATGTAGGGCTGCCGGAGGACAAGTTTGACATCAGGTCTGTCTTCAGGTCTCTTGCACAGCATGCTCTTGATCAGTTCTCCCAGCTGTGGATCATACTTACTGGGCATCTGTGGCAGCTGATGAGAAAACCAGAGGAAAATATTACACACCATTGTGAAACTTTTTTGCCATAAAATTCAGAAATAATGTACTGGATTAACTAGTAGATAAACAATTATTTAACTCCTGCTCAAGATGGCTAAAACTACCGATCAATAAACCCACAGCTCTGTCTTATGTGGTTACTCGGGAAAGGACAAGACTATTTCCAACTTCAGTCTGTTCAGGGAGCTGAAAAGCAAACTTCAGAATCAGATTAATAGCTGATTTATATATCTGTTGCAAAACGATGGTTTCTGTCACCTGGAAAAGCATAAATAATTTATTAAAAATAAAACCATTCAAACCTCTCTAGTGGTGTCTTTAAAGCCAGTTCTCCCCTACTATCTCTCTCCCCACCTGACCACTGCTTCACTTCACACGGACTTTGGGGCTATCACAACTACGTCCAGATGCGCCCTCTTTCATGGGAAGCTGTCCAACACAAATCTGCTAGACTCTCCTGGACATTGCAGATGTAAAATCCCTATTTCAACTGTCATCTGGTGTGAAGCGTGTCTAGTGGAAGTGAGTGAGAGTTTAGAATAGTTTTCATCATCGTAGCATATATAGATAGCATAAAAAAAAGACAAAACCCACCTTTCCTCCTACGATGCGATAGACCAGTGAGTTCATGTCCTTGGCATTGAAGGCATGTTTCAGTGTGGACATTTCATACACACAGCAACCCAGGGCCCATACATCTGACTAAAAAAAACACAACACCCATTTATAAAGCAGCGCCTATCACCATTCATGAATAGACAGTAAGAGCAGACAACTCAATACCACAATCCAATCTATCAATTACCTTGTAGTTATAGGGTTTATTAGAGAAGAGCTCTGGACTCATGTAGTAAGGGGTCCCTATGAGCGTGCTGGCCATATCATTCTGATTCTCCAATACTCGTGCGATGCCAAGGTCCCCGACTTTGATGATGTTGGTCTTCGTCAGGAAGATGTTCTGTGTTTTAAGGTCCCGGTGAAGAATGTTCCTCTCATGCAGGTACTGCAGAGCAAAATCACAACAGTGAGTTCAGATGTTCTGTACTCGTTTAAAGAAAAATAAATTTAGGCCTCCACTTTCAATCTCACAACATACCTGGAGTGCCATGGCTATCTGGACAAACCACTCCACCACCTGCTTCTCAGGTAAGAGTTCTCCCTTTTGCTGTTTGAGTCGATGATAAAGGTCCCCGCCTTCACAGAAACCCATCACAATGTACAGCTGGCAGTCATCTCCTTCCCAAGACTCCCTGTATGTCACAATGTTGGGATGTCGTAGCTGGGACAGAAGCTGCGCCTCCTGCTCTGCAGCACGCCGTTCCCGCTTGGAGGAGGTGGTTAAATTCAGCTTCTTAATAACATACTGGGGGGGGGGGGGGGGGGGGCGCATACACACACACACACACACACACACACAATGCATCAGTCTCCTGAATTGGAAGTTAAGGAAAACATACAATGTTTGTCACCACAAAGTGAAGAAACTGAGGCATTTTCAACCAGACTGCAAAGAACTGGACCCAGTTTAAGGTTACATTTACATAATTACATTATTTTAGCTAAAGTTAATGACTGTTATGGACCAGAGATTCACAATTCCCTTCAATTTTAGTGATCCACACATGAATGATTACTTTTCAAGCTATGCAATGCTGACATTGGAACCATGAACCAGAAAAACATTTTGTTGTTTGGTGGCTTAAGTTAACTACAAATCTTCCTCTCTAAAGAAGGTGGATGACAGTCACCATGATGGTCAGTAATAATCATGCAGCTACAGCTTTTTAAGGTTATATAGGTTCAATTCAACTACTTTTAGCAACTGTCAAACTGAGTGTTATTACCGTGCAACTAAATAAAATGTTCTTCTCTAACATATGACTTTGTTGTGTTTTCCAGCGCACTGGATGCGTTAACATTATTGTGTTCGCTTCACAACATAATGTGAAAGAGCGTAACAAACCGACTTCAGCTAACTTTAAGCTATTTATCCCTTAGCGGGGTCTTTGTAGTCAAGCCTGGTGATTATAAAACTTCAAGTGAATATAACGCTAACGTTATAACGTTACGTTGCTTATTTAACGTTAAACTTTGGTGGGCTGTACTGAACTGCACAAACACTTTCCGTTTCTCACCTGTTTTCGGTCTGTTTTGTGTTTCACCAAGTGCACCTCCCCGTAACTCCCTTTACCAACGACCCTGATGAAAGTGTAATTATTCATCATTCTCCGGCCTGAAACGCTGAAACGTTACTCGACACTCCCAGCAACAAAAGCGGGTTTATTTCGTCCCATCCTTCAGCTGTACAGACGGGATGTACGTGTATGTTCGGGGAACCTTCGCTCTCAGTGTCACAGATGTGATTTTGAAAACGCAGGAAATTTGCAGCAGTCGATAAGTTTTTTCCTCACTAGGCAACCGGGAGTTCAGTGCCGACGACGCTGAGAGGGTCCAATCAGACCGAAACTCTGCTCCGTCTGCATCACAGCGCCACCAGGCGTCCGCATCTAGACACCGGACAGCCATCACACCAACCGTGCCTCACAAATACCCTGCATTCACTTGAGATAGCATTTATTTAGAAGTTTAAAAATTAATTCTCTCTTTTTGATAAACCCTGGAAGCAGTCTCCCCTCCTTTTTTTGGTGTACCTTGATTGTATCACATTGCTGTAGGATAAAGCGATCTCATTTTTTTTTTTTTTTGTTAAATATACAAGTGTAACAAATCATTTTTATCATACCCCGTTTCATTTACCCAGCAACTAAAATATCAGGCCCTGTAATTGGTAGCTTACTTGTAAATGAGATGCGTCCTGCCATGTCATATGTCAGTAATGTGTCATCAAAAAGCCAAAAAATCTTAAGCACTTGGGACAAACGAGCAAGTGGTCACTATAAACAATGACTAACTTATTATAATTGCATGGCACGAGTATTTCAACGTTATAATATATAAAAATGATCAAAAGGTCTGGTTGCCTCATATTGCATCCACTACAGATTTTTATTTTATTTCGGGCAGACCGTTTCTGTGGACTTCACCTTGCCTGTTTGGGGCCATGCAACCCCACTAGGTGGAGCACTAGACCACCACAAACTGAGAGCGCACGAATTCAGTGAAGCAAAGTGGTGCAGAGTGAAAAGACATGGGGAAGTCAGTTGTGTGGGCTTTATTTTAGGTCACAAATAAATAGATTTAATTGGTTTGGTGTTGGTTTTATTTATTTATAAGTATCTATTAAGTTTACTTAACTTACTACTACCACGAGTAGCCTGCTAATGTAATAGGCTGAGTAGGCTATTAATAGTTCTATAGCTTCTCTCTGTGTGTTTGTACACTTTGCCACTGGATCAAATCTACAGTATAGCTTAAGTAAGGGATTATGTGGTCCAGAGTTTGAGATAATACCTAGCCGCAAGTAGGCCATGATCACAATGGCTGTCATCACCATAATGTTTATTCAATATGTATTAATTAGCATATTTGTATGTGGTTACAATGCTTTGTTGTCCGTGTATATAGCTGTATCTCTATTTTTAAATTCCTATTAGTGCAGGGGCCATTTATGACAACCACCGTCAAACCACCTACTCACCTCCAAGCCCTCTATCCGAAGTACAGCAGGGAGGGTCACGTGTGGAGAGATGCGACCAATAGCTTGGCAGAGATGTTTACCTGTGCGCCGCTGCTTTGGACGGTGATTGGTCCTTTTCCTGCCCTGAGGTGACGTCAGGAGGAGCGCTGCTGGTGAGGTTGCCAAGTACAGATTCCGTGTGACAGCTCTACGAGTTAGACAGACGGGCGGACCCTGAGCACCACTGTTGGACCTCACTGACTGCTGAATTTCAGGTAGAGACCACTTCTGCTACGCTGTCATGACACAAACTTTCATTATGTCTCTTCCTCAAAGGCTAGATGGAAAGTTGAAGCGCGGTTTCATGTCAGGGGGGGTTTGATAGTCCGTTTTCAAGCAACGTTTATCAGTGAGAAACGTTAGCTAACCTTACGGGCGCTTTACATTCACTCCGTGTTATGACTTTTCGCTCAGAGGAACTTAGATTTAATTACTTTAAAGCTATAACTATGTTTACTCTTCTATAGGGGGAGACTGCTGAAGTTAACAGCAGCTGCCAGTCGCGCTATGCATACTATCATTCACATCAAGAGGACCTCAGTGTAACTGAAGCTGCAGTTTCAAGATCAGATACTGACATGAGGATTGACCGAAGTGATAGCTTACTTGTCCTCTTCCATAGAAACCAGTATAACAAGACTGCTCTCTGAATTAATACGATAAAATGAAGTCAAGTTTATACAGTCTGATCATCTATAAATAACTGGCTAATAATAACAGGCTATGTTTTGACAGAGCCCTGGTGGTGTTATTATTAATCTTTACTGCAGAAATGGCGCGAAGGTTTTCTCAGTAAACATGACATGATGCAGTATTTTTAGTGTTGACCCCTTCGCTTATTTCTCATTTCTTCTTCCCTCTTTCAGTTTCCCTCTCCCTTTCTCTGTCAACACACTCTCTCCCTCTCACAAACACACACACACACACACACACACACACACACACACACACACACACACACACACACACACACACCCCCTTCACTTCTTCATGGCGTCTTGTAAGAAGAAGTCTGCTTATCAATGAATAAGCTCATTTACAGAGGAGATTTGTTGTGGGTCATTTACACCAGCTGACCAATGAGACTGCTCTTCATAAACCTCTCTGTTTGTCAGTCAGCCAGAGGGTTCATTGGGGCCATGCAGTTTTGGGTAGGCCCCATGGCAAGCAGTTGACATCTGTTGAGGGATGGATGGTATAGATTGGATAGTTTTCTGTTTTCTGCAATAGTTGATAGACATTACAAGTTAAGAAAACAGGGAATCACAAACTGCCTTTTCACTGCTGTCTCTGTGCTCATGCTTTTAAACATATTGCTCTAGTTGCCACACAGGAAAAAGCACTCACCCACCACAGCAGAGACTTTCGATCTTTTGTCAGTTCAACCATTTGATCTAATGAATCATTTTTATTTGTGCTAAATATGTGAATGGAGTTGTGTTGGCTCCAGCTTCTTTGAGCTGCTGTATTTCACCCTGGGCAATGTGCATATCTCTTTTTATCTACAAAATTCCTGGAAAACCCCAGATTCCAAAGAGACAATAAAGCCATTAAGGTAAACCATTACAAGTGTTGGGACTTAGAAAAAGGGTTACCGTTCTGAATGCACTATACTGTATGAAAGGTGATTCATATTGTGGTTCAAATTTTAGCAAGAGCCTTGTCTTCTGTAGCTCTGAAAGTAGGGCTGAATGATAGAAACATTTTAGTTTTTGATATTGTGATTGCGCTATGAGTGGCGATTGGTGTGGGAATGGTTATTTTTGTATTTAATTTTCACTGAACAAAATAGTAAGATTTTATTTTAGTTGCAGTCTGTAAAGTCTGAAGAAAATGATTTGTAATGGTATGTTGTGATTCATATTACCTTTCTCAAAAAATTATAGCTCCTGCAATATGGATATTGCACTTGGCCTTATTGCGATTTCGATAAATTGTTCCCCATCTGAAAGCCTTAAAAGATCATAGATGTAGCTAGCTATGCACCTGACCTAACCAAGCCCTGAAAAGAAATCAAATCATTTCAAAAAGTATTTGTCTTCTTGTGTAGTGAATCTGCTTTAACAGGAATGCAGGAATTGTGTGAGTTAAGTCTTTGTTTATGAGGCGCCAACTGTGAGAAGAAAATCTCAAAAAAACAGCAATTCAATCTCTCATGCACTATAACATAGTCTTTCCCGTACATTATAACATGTGTGTGTGTGTGTGTGTGTGTGTGTGTGTGTGTGTGTGTGTGTGTTTTGTAAGCACTAAAGTGTTGTCAGACGTCACACCATTGCAAATTTGAATTTCATGTTCAAAGAACACACCCTAACTACACATCAGTTTGTTACATTTAACTGTGGTTATGCGTACGTGTGTGTGTGTGTTTCTTCTGTCTACTGCACATCACAGGAATGGGAAACCAGTGAGTACAGCAACTCTCTTCTGTAAACCTTGAACAAGTGTGAATGCTGCATGTAACATACTACTCAGGGAATGTGGTTATGGTATTGTGCATCTCCCTATCTCAAGCCTCTTCTGTCCTGTTGCCTCTTAGGTTTTGAGCAGCTTATCTTTACCCACTGGTCAAAACTGAGCTGGTTTTGCCCTCTAGCCTTCATGGTCTTACGATACCTGCATGTGTCTTTCCTCTACCACCTTTTATAAAACTTACCTATCTGCCCCTGCGTGTCTCAAACTTGAACCTTGTTTTGCCTGTTTGAAAATCAGACCCCTTCCTGATTTTGACAATGTCCTTCCTGATTTTGACAATGTCCTTAAAGCTCCACTTACTTGAAATGTGTTATTTAAAATCTAATATGATGTTGCATAATGTTAAACATATACAGATATTTGTGTCACTGAAATGAAGTGTTAAGAAGTAGATTTAGATGCATGTTGGTATTTCCTGGGTACGCAGTTTCTGCCTGTATATTTCTAAAATGAACACAACCAGTGACAAGCAAGGCTTGATGCATTCATAGATAGTGTTTAAATGTCTTTGATGTTTAAATGACTTTGATGTTCAATGCCACCCATTCTCAGTGTGTGAATTAACATGAATCTCCATGAATATCCATAAGAGCAAGGTGGGATGCTACAAACAAGCAGTATGTGAGAGGCATTTTCACTCTTTCTGGGGTTTCAGTTTCCGTCAAACTATTGCAGTTATTTTTAGCTCTTTAAACAGTGCAATTAATAAATGCTGGTCAGAAAGTGAAGATAAGTTTAGAGCTCCCACTATTATTTTCATTTTTTTAATTTGTTCATGTTTACATCTTTTCAATGTAAAATAAAAATAAAAGCTAACTCCTTCACAGTTTACTAGAGCCTAAAGTAATTGTTGAAATTGCTCTTTCTGACCAGTAGTCAAAAAGTATTTTCGGTTAAATCAATACGAAATAGGGATAAGTAAGCAGATATTCACATTCATCTCAGCAAGTGATTGTTTTTTTTACTTAGTAAATTATACAAATTGTTTCCGTATTGACCAGCCAATCAGTTACTTTCAGCACTACAAGCTCAAAATCCTATCTTTGCAAACAGACATGGGAAAGACTAAAGAATCCCAAGATGCCAGAGCATACAAAAATCTTTGCACAGAAACGGTTCTATTGTATTTTCACACAGTGATTAGTACGCCTTGACCTATTCCAGATCATTTTTTTTGAAAGCATTGGAAATAAATCATGCCTGGTTATGATCCTCAATTTCTGCAGAAAGAGACTGGTGTGAAGTTGAAAAATGGACTCAGAAATAGCCTTACAGTCATTATGTATTGTTTGATTG